AAATAAATTAAAAAATATTGACATGAATAATTGTGTACAAAGTCAAATTAGTGTTAAAACAGAAAGTATTGAAAGAATGAAATTAGAAGATAATAAACTAACACAATTCAAATTAACAACAAACAAATCATCTGATATTTGTATTGAAAAATGTGAGAATTTCAAAATTGAAATCGAAGCAAACAATGAACAAAACGTTGATATAATAGAAGGAAATAATATTGAAGTTAAAACAAAGTTTCCAATTAATAAATTAACAATTATTGAATCTAAAGAAGTTAGTATTAAAGGAAATGAAAAATGTAAATCATTGAAAGTAGTTGATTCTACAATCAATGAAAATGATGTTAAACCAAAGAGAATTGTCTTTAAATCAATTGAAGAATATATTAAAATACCACTGAAAGAAGCAGAAGAGATATATATTGTGTCAATGAAAGATTATATTTTTGAAGAGTTATTTGATAAATGTAAGAAATTATATATTGATGAATGTGAGAATTGCCAAATCATAATTAAGAAGAATGAAAATAATGAAATGAAAATAACAAGATGTAAAAATACAGAAAATACAGGGAAATTAGATAATCTTGAAGAAATCATTACAATAGATAATGAAGAATGTAGTATTCCAGAAACAAAGAAGAATATAAAAGAAGATAGAGAAATAATAGATATGAATAATGAAAAGAAAGACATAGAAATAGAAACAGATAAGAAACATGTTATAATAAGAAATGCATATGACAGTCGTATTAAAATTCAAAGTGACATTAATAGTGATATAACAATAGAAAATAGTGAAAATATAATAATTGAAGGAGAATATGAAGAATATGGAAATGTCAAAATGGTTAATTGTAAAAATCATAAAGAAAAACAAGATATTGGATATGAAACTTACACAAAAATTGGATGTGTAAGATCATTATTACTTAACAAATGTGAAAATATTGAATTTGAAATTTATGGAGATAAAAAGTTATTAGAAGTTATTGATAGTAAAACGGTAGGTATTTTAATAAGAAGAAGTTTTCATAATACAGGTGTTGATATTGTACGTATTGAAAATTCAGAAATGTCTAATATCAGTTCAAGTGAGTTGTGTAACAAAGTATTTATAACTAATAGTAGTGGAATTGAAGGCATTATCTCACAATGTAAAGACGAACTTGTATTGAAAAGAATGAATGACATTAGATTTAGAACAAATGCATTTTTGAAGAAAGTTGAAAATGAAGAGTGTAAAGGAATTAATATTGAGAAAGATGTTAAAGGAAAAGATGTTAAAGTGATAAAATGTCATAATATGAAGATAGTTGACACATCAAATTCAATCAAACAGAATGAGTGTGATAATGTTGAAGTAATAACAGAACAAGAAAATGAAATGATGGGAGGATTTTGAATGGTTGGTGGTAATAACATGCCAATGGGAAGATTTAGAGGTTCATTTCTTAAATAAGAAAATCTGATAATGACTAATTTGATTAGTTTTTGATAAATTTGAATGTTTGAAATAAAAAGATAGAAACAAACAACAAAGAGTGTTATGAAATGTGAATGATTAAATGAAATACAACAAAACAAATGAAATTGAATATAACTCTTTATTAACAGTTTTATTAATGATAGAATAAGTTAAAGATAATAGAAAATATCATCAATCAACATATAATTCAATTATGAATTTAATAACAATTATCTCAAATGAGAAATAACAGAAATAAAGTGAATGTTTCTAATGAAGAAAT